TCGAGTGCAAAAATTCAAGATAATCCATCAGCTCCTTAACAAACTCACAATGATTAAATAAACCAATTACCTCACTGTCAAGCAAATTCCAAAGCAAGCATCCTCTCTAAGCTAGATTTGCCTAGCATCTCCTTCAGGTGGATCATTGGTCAAGTGGTCATCCTTATCCAAACTACGAAAATATATACCAACTATTTTACTCCATGCCAGAAAATTAGAGCCAATAAGTTTGTGTTCCGTTATTTTATTCAATAATGGCACAACATAAGTGATGATAGGTTTCGATTCGGAAGTCTTCGGTGAAGTAGTCGTCATGATTTGTAACTAAACGCTCAAAAACAAATATAGCACAACAAAGGAAAACTACGACTCTTGGTAACTCGATAGCAGAATAACAAATAGACAGCAATAGAATATAAATTCACAAATTCAAACTGTACAGGGCAAAGCGGCAGCAAAGATGCAGCACGAAAAACACCACAAAAGTCAAAGAGGGCTGATGCAACACATTGGGTTGTAATGTATTGGTAAAATCGATGAGTCGGTGATTGAGAGTCAGTGACAGGAAATGGCCGGACACGCCCTCATGCGCCGGCGTGTGAAGAAAGCGAAAAACTGTGAGTGGCGCATGAAGCCCACTCGCAAGGGTTCCAATGACCGAATTTAGAGGGAGAGCCAATCAGCGGCTTACCCTTCTTCCTTGGGCGGCGGTGAGACAAAATACCCGCCTAGGTGGGTGACCTAGACTGACAGTCACCAAAAACACATATTCTACTTGTAGTTTCAATGCAAAAGAGCAGAGAAAAAAAAAAAAAAAAGAAAACAAAACTTAACAAGCCAAAGGCTCTCATACCATATAATTTAATGTGGAAAAAATATTGTTATATATATTTTCATCATCAGAGTCACATATATATACACATATATAAGATACTATAAACCTATTAGGAACCTAAATCTTAATAGAACTCTATTTACAGCTAGTCCTTAACAAGAACAAAAGGATTCTTTTAATGAGTATGTCATGAGCTTTTTTTCTTTTTTAAGTTAGCAAGTTTTTACCAAATAATTCTAATTTGCCATAATAAAATCAACCTGAAAAAGAAACAGAAAAAGAAAAAACTTTTCAATGAACCTGTAGCGGTTTATTATTGCCAAAACTCCATGGTAGCCTCTTTACAAATTCGACAGGAATGAAACACTTTTTAGTTCTATTTTAGTTAACTTTTGTCCTACATGGAATATTTTGACTTTTCAATATCAGAAAGTACAATTAAAAGAAATAAGAACTTGATTTCTTAGCTTTGTTGTTTCATTTTGTTGAAAATAAATTAATACCACAATTAAAGCAAATTTATTAATCAAAGAAATTTAATAAAATAAATCAATAGACAAACGAATAATAAAAAATATGTTGGAGATGATTGTACTTCTTCTATTGCAAGATTAATATAAAAATCCACCTCATATGTCCAAGGATGCCCTTAAAGACACACGGATACATAAATATACCATTTGGCAAGTATCTAATTCTCTACTTATCATACACAAAAATTGGAAAAAAAGAAGAGAATCACATGTTTGAATGGTTTACACATGCGAATTGGGTTTTGAGGAGCTTCAAGGCCGCTTTTCTCTTCTCCGACTGTTTTTGAGTTTTTGCAAATGTAACCACTGCATACCTGAAATTCGACCATAAGATTCAGAATTCTCACCTGGAGCATATCCACCGACTATCATCCGACTGGCAAGATTTTTGCATCAATCAATTAACAAATATGAATTCTTCAATATGAGTGCCAAGATTAATATAAAATCCACCTCATTGGAGTGGGTGTCAAGGATGCGCCTTAAAGACACACCGGGATATCATAAATATACCATTGGCAAAGTATCTAATTCTTCTACTTATCATACAACAAAAATTTGGGGTCGATTATTAAATAATGTTTCACCGTGAAATAAGAATCAACATAAGCTGCTTGACCTTTGTGGGGTCCTTTCGTTTTGTTAACGAGACAAATTGCCGAAGGTTTCCCTTGTGGTGTTGGGGGTTAATTGAAGTTGGAGACGGTGTTCTCCAGGTCTCCCGCCCTTCTTCGCCTCTTCCCTTTCTTTGCCGAGCGATGTGCTTCCTTTTGTATGTTTCTTTGTGCTAATTATTTTGTAATCCAGCTGCACAATTTTACCTTTGAAAATTCGAATTAACGTCTATTAAAGTATGGTTCATGTATAATCTTCTTCCACCCTGTGAGCTATTGTATTCTCTTTACGTTCAAACTACCGAAAATCTTATATTCAAATAAATTTATACGTTAACTTGGACAAATTTCCCCACAGATTTTTGCATCAATCAAATCCTTATAAACACAGAGAGAGTGAAGATGTATAAATACCCCTGTCAATATTAAAAAAGAGAAGTAGAGTGGGGTATACATTTCAAATGTGAAATAAATAACATAAATAAATTCCCGATAGAAAATACAATGCAGAGGTATTCACCTGATTATAAAAAAACACAATAAAGAAAAAACAACCCCATGCATGCCACCTTAAATTATTAACCTTTTATAATAACTAAGAGCCAACTTTCCTTATGAGAAAATGTTCCTTCAATGTTCTTCTGTCTTACATTCAAATAAACAGTCTCCCTTCAGATATTCATAATAATTTTGACACACGTAGACAATGATGATACATAATATAAACTTAATACGGGCAATACACCCAAATTCAAAAGGTCTTCCAAATCCAATCAAAGGCAATTTGAATTAATAGCTATAGACCCATTAAACAATGATATTCTTTAGCTGCGATAAATGCTCCCGATAACCTCGTGCATTAAAGTAAAGCATATTGAAATTCAGATTAAAGAAATACGTTGGAGGCTAATTGTAATAACATGTGAGAAAAGGAATATTCCTTAAGAGAGGTCCTGTTAATAAGGTAAAAATGTGAGGACTTTTTTATCAAAGAGAAATGATCCTGAGAGGAGTTTCAAGATAAGTTCAAGTAGGCCGAAATATCGGGAAAATTTAATGATGGCTGACCCCTTTTAAGTATTTCCGAAAGTCCGAAGAGTACGACCGTTTGAACCCCGTTTGACAATCTGCTAAATAAGTGATTCAAACCCAAATAAGTGAAATCGAATGCAAAGTTTGGTTCAGGGGTCTAGTAAAAGATGAAGCCAACACCGTTTTAAATGAATAAAAAGAAAAACCAAAACAGTTACCTTTGTTATTTGGTAGCCGAACTCTTCAAAGAATGCCTGTGCGCATTTAAATTAAAATCCTATCAGGGAGCCCTAATTCGAAGAGTATAGTGAAAAAATATAACCTAGGTATTATAGGCACCAAACAAAGAATATGGCATGCTGTAAAGATTTGTATAAATTGCAACAAGGATTAAACCTATAACTGTTTATTATGAAATTTTTTATTAAGCGATCAATAAATTTACGTCCATTAATAAGAATCAAATCAAGGATAAATAATTTATGTGATGTAGTGGTGTTTGGGGACTATTCCCTGTAAATACCGAATGATAAGCGGCAAAATGTAATAGTATGCAAACAAATGACATATGGTTTTCCAGAACCACTGATAATATATGAATCGGAGTCCCTTTGTGAGGATTAATTTATTCAAAGTTCTTTTTGTACAGAAATAAGTCTACCAATTAAGAACAAATATTAAATCACAATAGTTTGTCTGCGGCCGTTGAACATCGGCAGCCTGAAGAGCTTCAGAAATTATTAAGATATTCTATTTTAGTGGCAATAGATAATCCTCAACAATATTGCCCACCCTATTTCACATTAAGTCTTTAGTTTACCAATATTTTTAGCCTTACAAAAATAATCAGCAAAACGCCATGCGATTTAATAACCAAAAAGCATCTAAAAGTTGCCAACATTACTAATCATATATTGGGCTACACAAATAAGACCGACATATATAAATACTTGAGAATCCCTAGCTGCATCTTTGAGCCCTTGAAATATCATAAAATAGTGAAATCCGCCTAAATCCCGTAAATATATAATTCACATAATTTTTAATCTGTCAAGAGCCTAGAGAAGCATGACCTCTAAAAAATCAAAATCCTTTTCTATTAGAGGACTAATCTAAAGCTCCACAATGCTTAAAACGAAATGTTCAACCAAAATATATTCTTATAGGCTATAGGCGGCATAGGAGTTCTCCTATGAATGGAACTTGATCTCCCTAATTAAGAAATAGCACAATTTCCAAGTCGGTTCTTGGACACCTCAAACAAATATTATGTTAGGACTACCATAAAGATTCTGCTAAAACCAAAAAGTTTATACGCCTTTAACCCAGTCAATCCAGGCCCTTCTTTAAACCACTACAACTCTATGCAATTAACGCAATAAAAGCTCACTATCCGCGGAAACAAATCGAGCCTCCTCACTCTCCATGAGGAAAAGGCAACACCTCAAATTCGAAGAGCTAATCGATCGAGATGTTATGAAATAACGGTTCCTATTTATCCTTCCAACCAAGGTGAAAAACAAGCATTACCGTTGAGAGAGCAACCTTGAATGTTCCGGGCATTACTACGACACCTCCCTACGTATAGTCCTCGGAGCAGGACCAACAGAGCATCCTGCAACAAGTTCAACCTATGACTAACACTGTCTTATTGCCTAACCCGCCTATGTCCACAAAATATAATAGCCCACTTAGAAGATTCCAATTCAAATGGTTCTTAAGTTAATGTAATTACGGCACTTCGTTGAGAATAGCACTTAGAGTCTCCTTGTAGCACTTGTTAATGCTTTCTGCATCCCCCTGGCGTGATACTTTCTCCAGCAATTCATTGTCATGCCCTTACCATTATCATCACCATTTGCATGAATTTGTGGATGTTACAAAATTAAAAGGTCTTTATTGAAGTAAAATTAGGAGACTAATGTTGGTGAAATTCAGATATATAATTGCGCGGAAACACCCTAAAGCTTTTGACCACCTTAGGTATGTTGGAGATGATTGTACTTCTTCTATTGCAAGATTAATATAAAAATCCACCTCATATGTCCAAGGATGCCCTTAAAGACACACGGATACATAAATATACCATTTGGCAAGTATCTAATTCTCTACTTATCATACACAAAAATTGGAAAAAAAGAAGAGAATCACATGTTTGAATGGTTTACACATGCGAATTGGGTTTTGAGGAGCTTCAAGGCCGCTTTTCTCTTCTCCGACTGTTTTTGAGTTTTTGCAAATGTAACCACTGCATACCTGAAATTCGACCATAAGATTCAGAATTCTCACCTGGAGCATATCCACCGACTATCATCCGACTGGCAAGATTTTTGCATCAATCAATTAACAAATATGAATTTCTATTAAAAAAAAAAATGTATACATTCAAATGTGAAATAAATAAATAAATAAATAATGAAAATCAGATTCATATTAACAAAAGAACAAAGAAAAATACCTTTTAAAACAGATCTAGAGAAATTTCGTTTTTGTACATCAAAGTATCCAGATTCATATTAACACGAGATATAATTCTTACGGAATCAAGCTTGTGATGCTATAGCCAAACAATTCTTTTCTAACGATATCTCCAAGTAGCAATGAATTCAGTAGAAATAGTTGATAAAGAATAGAAATTTTAAGAGGTGTGGAAAGAGATTTTACAGAGAGGAGGATAGAAAGTGAAAACGAAGAATTAGGCATAAGGTGAACGACTTGAAGTTGACAATCGCTGTGATAAAAAGAGCAGTCGGTTAGGAGAAAACACGAAGAAAAATGTAGAACTCAGTGGATAATTTCAGAGCCTAAGGGATAGAATAGGAATAACAAAAGAAAGAGCTGGTTAAATTGCCATTAACTGTTATATGAAATTATTATTATTATCATAGTCGGTAAAAAGAGGATGTGTTTGGACTATTCTGTAAAAGTGATAAGGGCAAAATGGTAATAGTATGAAAAATGATATGGTTTTGGAAACACTGTTATATGAACAGTTTTGTGGATTTAGTTTTAGTATATACAAGCAAACAGGCCCGCGCTTCGCAGTGGGCTCGTATTAGACATTATGCTGATTTCAATCACTATCCATAGTCTTTAAGTTTAATATATCAAATTCAGAACATGGAGAATCCAAAAAGCCAGCACATTACAATAAGGACATAAGAAATAATCTTGAGAAGCTCATATATATAGTAACTAAATGTCATAATCTGTCAACATAGGGTATAAAACTTCAAAATCTATACTGCTAACATGTTCAAAAATCAAGCTAGCTAGGAGTTTTTGAATGCTGATCTTTGATAACATCAAGCAACATCACAATATTAGGACTACCATAAAGATTCTGCAGTATCTTTATCTCCCTTCTTACTTCTATCAATGCCAACGGACAATCATTCACTAAACAAACAATTGGTACAGGAAAGGTTATTCCACAATAAACCATGAAATTGAATGTAACAGATCCCTAAATATTTGACAGACAGCACACAGTTAGACACATTAGTAGCCTATCACAAATATATCCTAGAAAAATGTTTTAAGATCCCTCTTGGAAAGCACTTACCTTACACTTTGCTTCTGCACTCTAACTTCCCATTATATTCTCTAATATCTCATTTGCAGAATTTTGTTCAAGGATTGAAGAGACTAATGGAGTAATCCACACCCTAAGCTTTGAATTGGTATATGAAAGAGAGGAGAAAAGAAACAAAGAAAAGGCTCGACAGAATTGCCTTTCCCGATAAATTCTCCTTAAGATTCTCTAAAAGCCTAATTATAGAATTTACTTTTCTCAATAAATTTAGCTTCCTGACCAATTATAACTACTGACATTTTATCAACCCAAAGAAAAGTACAAAAATTGAAGTTCTGTTGTGACATTCTTTTTCATCCATTTCTCACAAACAACCAATATGGAATCTCCATGAATATTCAATAACAGCAGACAATATTCAATCAAATAACATGAATCTAGCTGAAAATAAATCAATTCGATTCACAATAAGTAATTTTTAGAAGGATATAGCATACTTTAGCAGACGATAACCAAAACAATATTGCTGAAAATGACAACAAAAACACGAACTAACAAATTTAAAAGTATCAAATTTAAAACCAAACCCTCAAACATGCAAACACTATCTTTCAACATCTAAATTTCGACCTATTCTCGATTCTGAATAGTCAAAATCACAAAAACGAAAATTGCTTCAGACTTTTCCCTCTAATTTCCCCAATCAGAAAAACCTCCCAAGAAAATATATAACCCAAAATAAAAATCACACACCTCTTTTCTCCAGATATAAACGCTCTGCATATGCAGGTTTCTCTCCCTGCTAAATAGAAGAGGCTCGATTCCCAAGCAATCCTTCAATTCTCTCCTTCAAAACAGTCGTTGTTGCTTCTGTTGCGGTTCCAATCGATCTTTCAGTGTCGGCAAGGTCTGGTGGGAGAGAATATGATCTTTAAGAACATAGGGCAACCATAATCCATGGTGGTCTGGGGCATCAGAGCCCAAAAGAAGGTTTGAGAGTGGTCGGCGATTATCGTTGGCCTAGGTGGAAGACTTATCCGGCGATTAAAATTGTTGCGACAGATGAGTTCTTTTTGACGGAGAAGCGTCTACAGAAAGCAAAACTTAAAAGGCTAAAACAGGAATAACGAAAAAAGAAGGCTGGTTAAATTGTCTTTCCGCTGTTCCCATGATCAGTGATTTTTGGTTGCGTTTTAGTGCATACAAGCAGATTTACCCTACTGTATTTTTATTTATTTAATGTTTAGTTTTATTTATAATTTTTTTAAAAAATATTTATTCATATAAAACTGCATGTCTTCATCTATTTTACTAACAGAAAATTTATTCTATCAATACATAGAAAATCATATTTTGAATAATATTTAAAATAATTTTATAATTATATTAGGGTATCATGCTCTCATATTTATTTATATTTTAATATCAAAGGATTTTTTAAGAAAAATGTAAAATTCACATTTATTTTTTTTATCATTTTTTGCTATGAAAAAAATATCAATTCCACACAAAAAAAATTTTTGTGTTCCTCAATTTCTCCAAATTTATCAATCAAGTGATATAAAATTTTAATACTTTATCAATTCCCTTCATAATTTGCTCATGAATCTTTTAGTTCTAGAAAAAAAAATTACTTAAAGTGAAAAAAGTTAAAAATAGTCAAATAGAACAATAATAATTTAAAAAGTTTAAAAGTTTAATAGTTTTATACTTATTGAATACATGATAATATATAATAAATAATAAATCAGTTTAATGCATTGCCATTTTTTTTTAAAAAAATAATCAGTTAAGTCAATTATAAATTAACTATATCATAAATTCTAAAATTAATTATTCAAAAAATTTATACTTTTTTTAAGGAAAATACTACTGCATTAACCAAACTGATAAAAAGGAAACAAGCACTCAGGAATTACATCCCACACTCTAAACAAGTAGTCTCTATAGGACTCTCTTGCAACAGTAGGAGCGCTCATATTCACCTGACAATGAATCCACCCAACACGAATATTTGTTCTACGAGCTAAAATTGTTTGACAATCCTTAATAACACAACCAAATTCAGAAAAATCATCTAAACCAGAAGTTAAAGCATTAAAAATGACTTGGTAGTCAGTAAACAAAATCCCATCAGTTAGCAAATTCTCCTCCACCCAACATAGACCGTCTCGAAGTGCAAGAGCTTCAATGAGGCAAGCTGAACTCAGGCCTTGAAATAAACCCGACACAGCATGCATAAATCCCCCTTCTTTCTCCTCAAAAACAATTCCAAAGCCTGAGGTCTGCAGAGTTGGAAAAAGAGCAGCATCTACAAAACCATTCCACACAGCAGGGGATAAATCCTCACCACACATCCTAGTCTCAGAACCAGCATGTCCAGCTCTAGAACAAAATTGCAATCCTGCTCTACTGACATCTCTCCCTTCTGCTTGCACGCCATTCACCCCTCTCTGATTCCCTATCATCCTGGAACTCTTCCAATCCTGAAGACATTCATATGCAGCAAAGACAACCGAATCTGTCACCATAGGCTTCTGGTTCCAAATAAAATCATTCCGTGCTGCCCATACTTTCCATGCAACAACAGCAAAACCATCCACCCTAGCCACACCATTGGAATCAAGAACCAGCATAAAAAATTAAAGGAAATAGAATACATCTCCCAAATTCTCCATGTTCCCAAACATCCTTCACCTTATTACATCTCACTAAACAATGATCAAGGTCTTCATCTTCTCCACAGTAACAACATGATTTATCTATAGGAATCGTTCTAGAAATCACGCCCTTAGGAGGAATGTTAAGATGCCATATCCTACTCCAAAATCAATCAAGGCTAACCACTCCTCACCTTCCTAATAATTTCAAAGCAAGATAATGGCAAGATTTCACCAAAAAGTCCCATTCTTCTCATAATGCAAATCAAGCTATCCTCTATATAAAATAGAGGGATAAGGATAACAAGGATGGCCCTGATACCACGAACACTAAAAAGATCTAAAACTTTTGACGTATCCCACCCAGTCTTATTTGCATTCAAAGGTCACAAACTCTCAAATTCTGATAAATAAACATCATTCCATCCTCAACCATAAACCACCCTCCTTTGGTACCCATGGATCACTACGAACTTGAATTTTCACCCCATTCCCAACCCTCCACCGGATTTCAGCTTTTAAAATGTCCCTAGCAAATGACAAACTCTTCCATGTATAGCTAGAATTATTTGATAACCCAATGTTTAACAAATCACTTCCAAAAAGTATTTGGCTCTGAGAATTTTATAAAGAAGAGTTTAGGTGTTTTTGACTAATCTCCACCCCTATTTGCCAAGCATAGCTAAATTAAAACAATGGAGATCCCTAAATCCCATTCCCCTATCCCATTTGCTTTGACACATACGATCCATGAATACCAATGAACCCCTCGATTACCTTGCCTTTTATCCCCCCCACCAGAAGGAATTCATGATTTTTTGGAGAGAATCATAAAGGGATAAAGGAATTCGAAAGACACTCATACAGTAAGAGGGAAGAGCCTAGGCTACAGATTTCAATAAAACCTCCCTACTAGCTCTAGAGAGTAATTTGTTATGCCACACATTAATTTTACTCCACAACTTATCTCTCAGAAAAGAAAAAAATATGTCTCTTGTTCCCACCAATTAGCGAAGGAAGCCCAAGATATTTATCCCCTCCCTGTTAGGATTAATTCAAAATAATATTTTGAAAAATCTGTTGAGATTTCAATTTTATTTAGTGCAGATTTTCTGCATAGAATCTGATATTTTTGTTATTAGAATTAATGATTTTTTGAAAAAATTCTGTTGAGATTTCATTTTAAATTTAAGTCACTGATTTTCTGCAAGAATCTGATATTTTTGTTATTAGAATTATGATTTTTAGAAGTATTTTTAGATCTTTAATTTGATTCACTTGTAAGCCTATATAGGCACATTTCTTTTGTTAATTGAATGAAGTGTTTAAACATTGTTAATCCATTTTGTGGGCAATTTCCATTCTTACCTACAAAATTTCAACATGGTATCCAGGCCCTGTCCTGTTTTAAATGGCCACAAACACTATTCATTTTCTTTCCCCTCCCCAATTTTTGTTGGTGGAAAATTATGCAGCTATGGCTGTTAATGCAGCTTATTTAACAAACTTAGACTTATGGGAGCATGTTGAAAAACAGAAAAAGAAAATCCCTCCATTTGCCATCCATTCCATCCATTAAGCACCAACTAATGGTTCAAATTAAGAATCATACGAAGAAAAAGCCAAAAAGTTCAAAGCAAAAATCTAGCGCTTCATTCTTTTCTGTTTTTCGGATATAATTTTTTACAGTATTATGACTTGTGAAACAGCAAAGGAAGATATGGGACTTCATTAAAAAATGAGTATCAAGGCAACGAGCAGTACGAAATTGATGCAAGTTTTTGAATCTTAAAAGAAGATTTGAGATGCAAAAAATGAAAATATCTGGAGGTGTCAAAGAATATGTTAACAATCTCATGTCTATTGTTAACAAAATTAGATTACTTGGTGAGGAATTTCCTGAAAGAAGGGTGGTTGAAAAAAATCTAATAAGTCTATCTGAAACATTTGAGTCCAAAATTTCTTCTCTAGAAGACACAAAAAATCTTTCTGAAATTTCCATTGGTGAACTAACTAATGCACTACAAGCTGGGAACCAACGGAGAGCATTTAGAGAAGATAATACTATAGAGGCTGCTTTTGTTGCCAAGACAACGAACAAATTTTTATCAAAAAGAGGAAAACTTCCACCATGTGGCATATGCAAGAAAGATAATCACGATGAAAATGATTGTTGGCATAAAGGCAAACCTCAATGTTTTAATTGTAAAAAAATTTGGTCACATTCAAAAAGATTACAGGTATAAAAATCAATCAAATTTTGTGCAAGAGAAAGGAACTCTTCTTTGAGTATTGGAGAGATGTGCTCCAAGAGAACATTGGAGAGATGTGCTCCAAGTGCTCCAAATAAGCTAGTTTGATGAGAAGTGCAATCATATTTGATGAGAAAGTGCATCAAAATGATGCAGTTTGGAAAAAGAGGTGCTTCAACGAAAGTTAATTGGAAGAGAGTGGCTTCAAATGCTAAGAAATTAAAAATTTTAATTTTTAATTATGTAATAAAAAATATTATGTTTGAATTTAAGAGGAGACATGGGATTAGGATTAATTCAAAATAATTTGTTAGGATTAATTCAAAATAATATTTTGAAAAATCTGTTGAGATTTCAATTTTATTTAGTGCAGATTTTCTGCATAGAATCTGATATTTTTGTTATTAGAATTAATGATTTTTAGAAGTATTTTAGATCTTATTTGATTCACTTGTAAGCCTATAAATAGGCACATTCCTTTGTTAATTGAATGAAGTGTTAAACATTGTTAATCATTTTGTGCATTTCCATTCTTCCTTACAAAATTTCAACACTCCCAACGGGTTTGAAACCTCCAAAATTCCAAATAACCTCACCCTACTATCTTGCAACATGTTAGGATTAAAAAGAACTCCCGATTTATGAAAGTTAATATCTTCACCCGAAGCCTACTCATATTCCACCAAAATTCCCTTCACCCTTTGACACTCCATCTCCAATGTCCGAAAGAATAAAATAGAGTCATCCGCAAAAAGCAAATGCGAGACTCGAGGACGAGTACCCATCCTATGCCCGTGCACCGACCCTCTCCTTTTTGCACTAGAAAACAACGCTGACAAACTTTCTGCACACAAGATAAAAAGATATGGGGATAAGGGATCCCTTTGACGAAGTCCTCTTTTAGGAATAATAGGACCTACCTCCTCCCCATTAACTAACACCGAATAACTAACACCCAAAAAACACATCATCATCCAATCAATCCACCTACCTGCAAAACCCAACCCCTGCAAGTAACATCCCTTCTCGGTCCACCCGTTAACCCGAATGAACCGAGCCGAGACATTACAATCTGGTTGAACCTATGTCCTGTCATAACCTATGTCCTGTCATGCTGATATCATCCTGTATGCTAAATATTATGTCATGTTTTTTTTTTCATATAAATAGATTGGAAAAATCCTACATAAAACTATAAGAAGTTCCCTTTAAAAAAAATTGAGCTCGCCAAACATGTGAATACAAAACACTCCCAATTAAACTCCAAACTTCCAACATCTCCAAATAATCATCATAACACAATATCACTTTTATATTTTCATAACTGTATAAATCCTCAATAGCATTTAATATCCATCAATTAATTGCTTTCATTATATATATCAAGTCTTAATGAACTAATCATGCCAACTATTTTACAATATTTCATATTCAATCATTTAATAAGTATTATTCTTATCTCCAAATACTTACGCCAAAATAATTACATGCTTCAATTATATTTCAAATAACATAATCTAAACATGTAATAATTCTACATGCCGTAATTCTTAATTATATAAATCTCAATCTACTACTACCAAATTAGTCACTTCTGCTTGGATATTACTCTTCAAATCTTCAAGTAGCAACCACGATCTTCAACCTACGGGTGATAAAAATCGACGCGCTGAGTATAAAACTCAGTGGTGCTCATAATTCACATACTTACCAAAGTTGCGATGGCAACTTACTTAAAATACAAATTTGCGATTGGCAACTTACTTTAAAATACAAATTTCATAAAATCATTGATATACTCATAGACTCATCTAAACTTCAAACAAAATTTACATTTACATAGCACAGAAAATACTCAAATAAACTTATATTAATAACAATAATTTAGTTCGAATTATATGCATAACTCCCTTTACATACATTAATCCACACATATCATTATATTTCATGATCTTACCTAACTGTTCATTATGTTTTAAATAAATAAACATGTAAGCACACATAACATTATATTTTCATTATCTTACTTGCTGTTCATTATGCTGTATGACTTATGTAATTTTTAGTCAACATCGGATAAGTTACAAATAATAAAATCTCATAATTGTATGACTCCATAAGGTTATAGTGAAACCTAAGTGATAAGAAGAACTGTATGAAACTGGATGAATACTGTATGGCTGGGCTGCTAAGGCCCATATATAATCATATCCACTCAATGGCCTGTAGCCGGAGTAACAAACTATATGGGGCACAGATCTGCTATCCTATGTCGCGACATACCCTTATCTACCATCTTAACCTCAATGAGCATATTATCCTGTATTCATTTATGCAATCCAATCTCATAACTTATATAAAATGCATTAACCTATACTTCTAATTTTTCGTTGTCTCATTCTGTATAGTTGTAACCTTTCATGCTTTAGATATCATAGACTTTACAGTAATATCTAAGAATTAAATGCAAACAATTAATCACCTTGAAAGAACTTGCATGGTAATAATCTTGACTGTTGCACCCGCCGACGCAACTCTTAATCTAATCTTTATAACTTAATTTGGTATTACAATCAAACTAAGGATAAATTCTGATTGTAATTTACGTTAAACTACTGAACGTTAAATCATAAATATCTTAGCGAAATCACACAGTCCCAACATTGTCTATGTAGCCTTTGAATTTCCAGGGCAGGCATTACCTTTTTCTGTTTTTTTTCCTCC